TTTTAGATTCTAATGAAGATAGATCGATTACTCTATTACGTGAACTATTGAGAAGAACGAGTGCCATTTTGAATCATTCGTCTCTATCCTATAAGAAAGTTTATTACCGTGAAAGACATAACTCTCGAACAAAGCACGAACTGGCATTACTTACACTTTAGCTTATTATCAACTTTCCTCATCATAATAGATGTTCTTTGTGGATACTAAAATTCCGATCCGTGTTCAAGATATAACAAGATAAGGAATGTCATCGCGACTTTGTCATTCACCTCGCAGTTAGTAAGTAATTTCAAAGTGCATCTCTTTTCTTTTCTCCCTTTATTTTTCCAGACAAAAAATATAAAAATGCACTCCTTTTCCCATGGGACTTGATTTAATTTCTACACAACTCAGTGATAATCTCTATATTAAATCAATCCAATATTTCTCCATTGAAAATTGAGACCAATCTTTTTTTGTCTTCTTCAAACGGATCACTTTTTTTTTTTTTTTTAAAAGAAAAATATTCATTCTTCGCTAATTACTGGATTTATTATTGAATTATTATTAGAGATTTATTACTTTAGTTTTTACTTTCAATTGACTATTAATTTTTTAATTGAAAAAAACGATTTAATTCATTAAATTAAACAAATTGTTTCTAATTTTTGTTACAAAATATCAACAAAGATAATAGTAGAATTTTTTTTAAATTAAAATAAATAATAAATTTAATTATTTGTTAATTATTATTTATTTATTTATTATTATTATTATTATTATTATATAAAATTACATTATTTTTACGAAATTTAATGAAATTCTTAAAGACAAATGTAATTATTTACAAATACTGTAATAAAATTGTTTAAAAGAATTTAATTTTCTATGAATAATTTAATATAACCTAATAGAACAATTATTAATTGCAATTAATAATAAACACGATTATTTTAAAGACTTAAAAGAAAATCTTCATAAAATTCAATTACTTTCAAAATTTTCAGTAAAAATTATGAAGAAAAAAAATTCCCATTATTTTCAAGAAAATTGAAATAAATTCTTCAAAACAATTCAACAATTCAACTTTTTTAAATAATTAAATTTTTGTATGAAATTGAATTGAGAAACTTGAATTTTATACGTATTTTAATTGAATTTTTTCTAATAAATAAATTTTTAAAGAGCTTTCCTTGAAATATTTTTTGAAAAAATTAATTAATAAATGAATTTTAATGTAGAATTTTGGAAAGAAATTAAAAGAAATATCTGAAAATTATGAAAAATTATTTATTTAGATAAGAATTTTTAGCTAAACTTTTTAGGAAATAATTGAATTTTTATTTTTAAATAATTTAATTTTTAGAGAAAGTTTGAAAAATTCTTAAAAATAATTTATTTAGATAAGAATTTATAATTAAAATGTTCAGAAAATAATTGATTTTTGAAGAATTATAATTGAAATTACATATTAGAAATAATTGAATTTTGTAAGAATTATATTTGCAATTTTTAGAAATAATTGGATTTTTGTATTTAAATAATTAAAATCTCAAAGAAATTATTTAAAATTGAAATGGAAATTATTTTAGAAAATAATTGAATTTTGCAAGAATTATAATTGAAATTTTTTGAAAAAATTGAATTCTTTGAGAATTATAGTTGTAATTTTTAGAAATAATTTAAAAATAATAATAAGAAATAATTTTTATTTTTAAATAATTTAATTTTTAAAGAAATTTCTAAAAAATTCTTAAAAACAATTTATTTAGATAAGAATTTGTAATTAAAATGTTCAGAAAATAATTAAATTTCGCAAAAATTATAATTAAAATTATTAGAAATAATTGAATTTTGTAAGAATTATAGTTCCAACTTTTAGAAATAAATGAATTTTTGTATAATAATTGAAATCTTTAAGAAATTTATGAGAATTATGAAAAATAATTAATTTAAGAAAAAATTTCTATTGAAAATAATTTTCCATTGAAGAAAGGAATAATTATTTTTCTTCTTAATTTTTTTTTATTTTACCATTAATAAATAATCAAGTTTTTGAATAATTTAAAATTTGAATTAAAAATTGAGAAAGTAATTGAATTTTACGATGAATGTCTTTCAAATTTTCGAAATATTGGTGTTTATTAATAATCGTTTGTGTTAATAATTGTAATTATTAATTAATAATTTTATTATTAAATTTTATTAACATTTTTTGGAAATAATTGAATTCTTCACAGGATCTTATTACAATTTTTAAAAAATAATTAAATTTTCTCGGAGAATTTTTACAAGATTTTTGAAAATAATTGAAATTTTTTAAGTAATTAATTAAAATTGTATTGAAAATAAGTGAAATCCTGATAATAATTATTTTATTATTGGTATATGTATAAAAAAATAATTGAATTTTTTACAAAAGATTTTTATTATTTATAAATTGACTAAAGAATTTTATTATAATTATTGAAAATAATTAAATTCTTCATAAAATTCAATTATTTTCAAATTTTTTAATAAATACTTTACAAGAATTCAATGATTTTAAGTAAATTAATTAAAAAATTTCAAGCATTTAAAAAAAATTATTTAAAAAGTTAGCAAACAAAAAAGCAAACAGCAACTTACTTCAAACCCATTCCCGGAATACAACGATTATTAATTATATAAAAATATAAAATAATATAAATAATAATAATAACCAGACGATAGTTAGAACCAATTATTTTCAATTGTGCTCATAATTATTTACTAATTATGAGCAATTAGTCGAGTAATTATTTCGATCGTTAATTTTTTAACGTGTCCCTTATTAGAAACAATTTCAAACAATTAATTAAATTTCACATAGAAAAAAATTATCGAATTTTTTTTTCTCGAAAATAGTTTCTGAAAAACGATTATACAGACGAGAATATTTGAAATTTCGTTTAAAATTAATGAATGAAATTTAAATAAATATAATGTAAATAAATTCTTGATTGAAAAAGAGAAGAAAAAAAAAAAAAAAAGATTGTGGAACAAAGTGTTAAGACGCCCAATTTTATATATATGAGAAAAGAAATTTCCGGCTCGAAGGAGTAATAATAAGGCATTATGTGTATCGGATGGAGTGATCTACTTGTAAGATTAATGTCGAGTTATATGTTAAGTCCCTCGTTGTAGAGCGGTGTTCTTTAAAAAGTATCATGCTCTACTTTGTCTCAATTTACACGTTGCCCTAAATGGCTTTTAACATATTTCCAATTTAACGTTATTTCATAAATATTTTAATTTTATTCTAATTTTTAATCACTTTTCTAATCGTCTATTCATTTTTCTTTTTAAAGTTGTAAAGAAACTAATAATTAAATAATAATTAAATGAAAGTTTTAAGAATTTTTTTTTCCACATTTCTACAATAAGAGGGAAAGGGATTGTATATTAATCGAAAAAAAGTACACAATTTTTTAAACGTGGTAATAAAAAATTTTTATTTCGTCCATTAAATATTTTTTACTTGAAAAAGTGCATTCCCAAAATGTAAAAAAAAAACGAAAAAAAAATTATCGAGTATTTGCAGACAGAAGCGTACACACACACACCCCTTTCAAAGGGGGGTCGGTTAAAAACAAATAAAATTTCGTATATTTATTGAAGCTTTCGACAAAAAAAAAAAAACTATAATTTATATCGTACAGTCTTAAAATTATATTTACAAAAAAAAATTCGTTCGAGAAAATATAATAATAATTTCGCAGCATTCAGTCATGTTTTAGCGAGTAACAAATAAATATTCTCGCGCGTTATTTATTCGCAATTATATATATCACACAATAAAATTTATTGCAAAATTCTAATTTTTAACTTTTATTATTACAATTTTCGTTTAGTAAAAACAAATTTTACAATTTTTATTTGAGTCGAAATTTTTTTCTTCGGATTTTATTGATTATAATTAGTTGGCGGAAAATAAATACTAATTTATAATTAATTTTTTTTTCTTACAAATATTCAAATTGAGTCATTTAAAGAAAAGGTGTTTATTCGTGACCTTAAATAAAGACTCGTTTTTTTTCTTTTCTTTTTTTTTAATTTGAAAACGTACAAATATACAAGTTCAAAACTTGCATAAGAGTGCTTTAAGTGATATCACCGTAAGCGAGATAGCTCGCTCGAAGCTACAAATATATATATATATATATTATACACAAAAGAATAAATCTCAGGAGATTTGTTTATTAACAATTTTCAATAAATTAGAATTTTTTTACAACGATCGAAAATTTCCTAAAACGAAAAATTAGATGAAAATATTCGTTTTTTCAAATATAAAAATATATCGGATAGTATTAGGCGCTTTGAGTTTTTGTCTCGAGTATTTTTTATTTTATTTACAAAGAAGCAAATTATAAATAATAATAATATATTTAATTTAATAAAATTATATAAAAATAAAAATTTAATTTTAAAAATGTAATAGAAGTTTCAACAAGTTTTTCTCTTTTTTCTTTTTAAAAGAAGCGAATTATAAATATTAATAAATTTAATTGAATAAAATTATATAAAAGTAATAATTTAATTTCAAAAATTTAATAGAAGTTTCAACAAGTTTTTGTGTCAATTATTTTTTATTTTTTTATTTATTTGCAAATGTTAATATATTTAGTTACATAAAATTACATAAAATGAAAAATATTAATAGAATTTTCAAAAAAATGTAAATAAAATATTTAAAATTATAAAAAACTGAATAAATTAAAAAAAAAGTGTTGAAGAAATTTAAAAAAGTGTAAATGAACTTTAAAGTTAAAACAATTGTTAAATACTTTTAAAAAAGGATAAATAATATTTAAATAGAATTTTTAAAATGCAAATAAATTTTAAATAAAACGAAATTGAAACAAAATTTAAATAAAATTTTGCAAGAAAATATAAATAAAATTGAAATAAAAATTAAATAAAATTTAAATACAATTACAATTAAGACCTAAACTATAAATAAATAAAATATACTCAAATTTTCAATTTGAAACAAAATTTCTTTATTCTTTTAAACAAGAATTTTTTTCCCATTTTTTTTCGTTACAGGAATTAAAATTTGCCCGCGACGTTTGCTTTTTAATAATAAATAAAATACATAGCTATACAACATACCTTTTGGTTTTCTTTTGATAAATAATCCAAAAACTCGATCAATTGCCTAATACTCTCCGACAAGTCACAGATAAATTTTCTCATTATTTTGCTTCTTTTATAAATTAATAAAATTTACAAAAAATATCATCTCATTTTTTTTGTGAGAAAAAGGAATTTTAAAAATTCAATTAGAAAAATAAAAATAACTAGAAATCACAATAAAGAAACTCGTAATTATAAATTCGCTTCTATAATTACGTGGACAATATTAAAATCGCGCGGAAAAATTTAATATTAATAAATTCGTGTCACTAGGGAGAGATTTTTAATTTTGATACAAGCGATGATCACAATAGTTTCACAAAAGAGACGAAAATTTACATACACAGCAATATCGGAAAAAAAGGAAAGCACAAAATTTTCACAAATTTTTTCCCTATTTAGTGATTTTTCTGACATTTTTTTTTCAAAATTTCGCGAACACGATTTTCAACTTTTTTTTGAATTTGAAAACTTAATTATATTTACACGTATTTGTAAATTTACAGAAATTTACAAAATTATTTTTCCAGATCTATTAATTAATATGTACAGACTAATATTCACTTGGTTGATTTTTGGTCGCATTGAAATAGAATGAATGAAGGTCTCAATTTCAATGGAACGGAAAATTTTGTTTTTTTGGCACTAACAACGATGCACTGGGAACAAACGAAGATTTTTAGTTTTCACTGACAGCGTAGAACACAAAAAACTTTTTTTTAAGTTGACACTAAAGAGATTTTCGGGATAGAATTTTTTTTCCGTATTTCCAGCTGGTGTTTTTTTTTTTTTTTTTTGGAGAGAATTAAATATGAACAGCAAGTGTTCGTGATCCGTTGGACATCTGGTTGTTGTGTTGCCGTCGTACAGGTGGTGGTTGTCGTCTAGGCGTTGTTCTCTGATTATTTGGCACATCGGGCAGGGCAAATCGTAATTTTTCCCAAAACAATTTATCACCCCACTGTAAATATGTATTTGTCTTGAGATAAAGTCTAATGTCCGGATCTAAATCACGTTGTGGCACTTCACCAACCAATACCAATATCAATCGTCGTCTTCGATCACGTAACACCTGATGATGCGCCGATTTAAAATCAAAACGACACCATTCTGATTTAATGAAATTCTCCGACAATACCATTATCGTGCGTCGTGATGATTCAACACCCTGGACAATGGTATCGGCAATGAAATTACCCACCGGAAAATCACGATAATGAAGACAAAGTTTGTAGGATGGATTACCCGTTTCTAAAACAGGTGCCAATTCTTCGGCAACAAATGCCTCGTCCTTGGAACTATAACTGACAAAAGCGTCAAATAATTTGTCACGATCATCACGATCAACATCAGCGTGACGATAAAATATCCTCACACCAAAGCGCGAATGAAACCAAACTCTAAGTTCGTGTCGATATATAAAGGCGAGAATGCACGTGATCACGAGAATTAAGAATGCGACTAGTGTACTAACAAGCAATGGAAGATAATCCTGATCACTGAACGATGTTTTTTTAGCAAAATTCCCGTACACGCTGCTATTCTCAACGTTCTCGAGACTCGAGCAGATGGTACCATTTGCACTGTAACTGGTCGTTAACAAGGAAAGTTCGATTCCATTGTCCTCGATTGGATTATTATCATCATCGATATCTTGTGTTGTATTCGTGAAACATTCCAGTTCCTTAACATCAGTGACAATGACCTTTGGACTCTGTATCCATTTACGAAAATCCTTGAGATAATCACAATCACACGACCATAAATTCCCCGCTAATGTCACTTCGATGCTTGTCGGTAATGACCAGACTGATAATTTCATCAGTCGATTGCCATTAAGTCGTAGAATTCTTAACGACACTAAAGAAACAAATGTCCCATTACCAATCATCGTGAGACGATTATTCTCCAAATGGAGTATTTTTAATGACTCAAGTCCCTCAAATTCGTGACCACGTAATTCCCGAATTCCATTGTCCTGTAGATGGAGATCCTCGAGTTCGCGTAGACCATTGAAGGAGCGATTTTGTACAATCTCGATATTTGAATTGTTGAGGAAGAGAACCTTTAATTTTTTCCTACCAATGAAGGCGTGACTTGATATAACACGAAGATCGTTTCCGTCCAGGTAGAGGCGAGTTGCGTCCATTGGTATTTGCTCGGGAAGTTTGCCCGTGTGGCCGGCCCTTGAACAATCAACGACATTAGCCGACCACGATTGATCGTGATAGCAGGTACAGTTGGCGGGGCAGGTCATTTCACAGTCGCATGCATCGAAGTCACAACAATGACACAGTACGAGACAATGATCCTCGTACTTGCAGAGAAATTGTGAATGTGATGCCTCAACGAGTGGCACGTATTGATGTTCGCGATCGTAGAGAAGTTTACAGTAGATACTCTCGAGGTCCATCACTTGCGGTTGATTGCGATTTTCCGATTGATTGTTGTTCACTTCCTGTAACCATTCCATGGAGCAATCGCACAGGTAGTCGTTGTCACCGATGTAGAATTCTGGAATTTGTTTGTCGTACGGCACGTTCGTTAGACGAAACGAGTAGGGATCTAGTTTGCTTATTCGGTTCCCCTTCAGATTCACTCGGGTCAAATTCGGCTTCTTCAGGAACGAGTAACTCATCACTTGGGTTATTAGATTGTCATTCAGTAGCAGTGTTTCGATACTCATCGGTATCGTTTTTGTCGTTATTTCCGTTAGTTTGTTTTCACTCGCGTCAAAAGTGCTCAAATGCAACTGTGTTTCAATATCGAGATTATTTTCCAGCACACTAATTTCATTGGAATGTATGTCCAACCACTGTAATCCACTCGGTATCATTGAATAATCGAATCTTTTTAACATATTGTCACTAACATTCAACCACACTAAATTCGGCAGAGACGTGAACAAACCACCAATTTCCGTTAGTTGATTCCCGTCGAGACGAATTGCCTGAAGGTTAAGATTGTTGTCGAACGAGCCAGGCTCGATGAACTGTATCCTATTTCTCGATAGATTGAGTATCTTGAGTTCTTTGATCTTATCGAATATACCTTTTGACAAATTGCCAATGTGATTCTCGGTCAAGCGTAAACCGTACAATTGGGATACGTGATCGAACGTGCCGTCTGGTATTTCGTAAATGAGATTTTCCCCAAGATCAAGGGTTCTTAAGCTTGGAGTTGCCTTCAATGCATCCGGAACTTCCGTCAATCGATTTCCATTTAGATGAAGATCCTGCAGGGACGATGCATTACGAAAAGAATTTGTACTCAAACTCGCGAGACGATTATTATCCAATGAAAGTAGACTCAAAACGTAAAGTCCACTCAATGTCGAACCATCAATTTCAGTCAAACGATTATCACTCAATACCAAAGTGTGTAAATTCGACAACGACGCAAATGTATTATCCACCAAATTCTCTATCAAATTCTCCTGTAATCTCAATATTTGCAAACTGTACATATCCCGAAAAACAGCCGGTTCGAGACGTGCTATTCGATTACAGGACAAGTCCAAGTCAACCAAACGAACGAGACCCCCGAAGGTCGCAGCATTCACCCATTCTGATGTCAATTCATTTCTCGACAAGTCCAATACCACCAACTGGGTCAATTCACCAAAGAGTCCAGGCGGCAACACACTCAATGTATTATTACGTAGATAAATTTTATTCACATCACGTGAATCACTAAATAATTCCGGTGGTAAACTAGTCAAACGATTATTCGCCAATGTGATAACGGTCAATGACGTCAAACCCTCGAAAGTACGATCAGCCATCGACACTATCGAATTACCACTTAAATCCAAATTCTGAAGTCTCGATAAACCGGCGAACGTTGCCGATGGTAACGATTCAATACTATTGTTACTCAAATTCAAACATTTCAAATTCATTGCACAACGACCACGATAACCGAACTGAAAACCCTCAACATCCCTTAAACGATTTTTCGCCAAATTCAACACTTCCAATGAACGTAGCGGACACAATAGACCATCCGGTAAACTCCACATATTATTTTCACTTAAATCCAATTTCTCCAATTTTTGTAAATCCTCAGTGAATGCACGTGACGATATTTCCAATGACATCGATGACCAATCAGTATTATGCGTACGAACAGTTAAATTTCTCAATTCTTTGAGACCCTTAAAAGCCTCGTCTGATAAATTGCCAATTTTACAATATTCAATAATCAAATCACGTAATTCGATTAATGGTCGAAAACTTCCGGCACTCAATGAACTTTGATAGAATAGTGCATCGCTGCATATTAATTTTAAACGTACTGTATGCTGTGGTTGAATAACACTGAAATTAGTGTTCTCCAATTCGCTATTTATTGTTCTCAATCGGCAAACGAGCGAAACATCATCAACTGAATCGCCCGTCGCAACCCATTCGCATTCATCCGGCGCTTTGTACCTCAGGGCCTTGCTTAACGAGGCACCGAGAACACCGAATATCGTTCCCAACAATATTGCAAAGAACGCCGGACTTCCCAGCATTTTTTTCTTATTGTTAACTGGGGGGGAAGGGAAGGGGGGGAAATAGTCTCTTCGCTATTTTGGGGCTCTGGATTTTTTTTTAATCCTCAGCCCATTTATAATTCGGTAAATTCTATTGATACCACATTACTGTATTTAATTTTATCGTGAAACATAACCACCGCACTTTCGCGTAATATTTACACTCCGACATCTTTTCTCGATTCTTTTTGAAATCGAAATAATTTCAAAATTTTGTTTTTGTGATCAAGTTGTTATTCCTTTAGTCCATTGTTCCTTTTTTATTGTTGAATTAGTGCAGTTGATGTTTTCTTGTATTTGAGAACAAAAGATAAGTTTGATAATTGGAATGAAGAATTAATTTCTTGTTGATGATGAGAATAGTGAGGATGACATTTTAATAATCCAGGTATTTGGTTTGTGTTTTGGATTTTCATTTGATTAAAAATGGCGACTTGAGCCAAACACACGCGGGGAAAGGGTCAACTCTGAAAGGAGTCACGGTTCTCCGAGAACTAGTTGTTTCAGTACGTGGCTGGCCCAAGTAGGGCCCCGCAACCAGTAGCTCCTCCCTCGCCTCTCAACCAGCTTGAGTTGCCCTCCCTCCTTTGAGTTTCTTTCCTTTCCCCTTGCCCCCCACCACCAGCACCTTCTAGACTTTAGCTAAGACCCAGGCCGTTCCGGCAGAGACTGTAAAAACAAGACACGGATACAATCTTCAGGTTCGCGCAGTAGTGGCTCGTTGGCTTGGGAGACTCTAGAATCTCTGTCGATTTTCTTATCCTTATCGACCTGGTCTCTTTCATCACCTTCTCATTTTCTCCGTCTCTCTTTCTCTCTCTCTCTCTTTCTCTTTCTACCATCATATTCTTGGTTCTTTTTGTTTTTATCTTTTGTCTCCTTTTCACCTCCTTCTTCTTCTTACTCTTTTTGTTTTTCTTCTGTTTTTTCTTCTTTAACTTCTTCTTCTTCTTCTTTTACTTCTTCGATAATTTTATCAACTTCTTCTACTTCTTCAATATTTTCAACTTTTTCTTTAATAATTTTTTTTAACTTCTTCTTCTTCTTCTCCTTCTGCAATATTTTCAATTTTTACTTCTTCAATATTTTCAACTTTTTCTTTAATAATTTTTTTTAACTTCTTCTTCTTCTCCTTCTGCAATATTTTCAATTTTTACTTCTTCAATATTTTCAACTTTTTCTTTAATAATTTTTTTTAACTTCTTCTTCTTCTCCTTCTGCAATATTTTCAATTTTTACTTCTTCAATATTTTCAACTTTTTCTTTAATAATTTTTTAACTACTTCTTTTACTTCTTCAATATTTTCAACTTTTTCTTTAATAATTTTTTTAACTTCTTCTTCTCCTTCTGCAATATTTTCAATTTTTTCTTTTCCTTCTACTTCTTCAATATTTTCAACTTTTTCTTTAATAATTTTTTTAACTTCTTCTCCTTCTACAATATTTTCAATTTTTTCTTCTTTTTCTACTTCTTCAATATTTTCAACTTTTTCTTTAATAATTTTTTTAACTTCTTCTCCTTCTGCAATATTTTCAATTTTTTCTTTTCCTTCTACTTCTTCAATATTTTCAACTTTTTCTTTAATAATTTTTTTAACTTCTTCTCCTTCTGCAATATTTTCAATTTTTTCTTTTCCTTCTACTTCTTCAATATTTTCAACTTTTTCTTTAATATTTTTTTTAATTTCTTCTTCTCCTTCTGCAATATTTTTAATTTTTTCTTTTCCTTCTACTTCTTCAATATTTTCAACTTTTTCTTTAATAATTTTTTAACTTCTTCTTCTTCTTCTTCTACATCTTCAATATTTTCAACTTTTTCTTTAATAATTTTTTTTATTTCTTCTTCTACATCTTTAATAATTTTTTCAAATTTTTCATCTTTTACTTTTTCAATAACTTTTTGAACTTCTTTCTCTTTCTTATCTTCTTTTAACAAAGAAGATAATAAAACTTTTTCAATTAGATTTTTTTCTTTCGTTCCACTTCTTCGATAATTTTTTCAAATTCTTCATCTTTTACTTAGATTTTTGAAAAATTTTAATAACTTAAATTCGTCTGAAATTAGTTCAATTTTATTCAATTCAATTAATTTATAAAAGAATTTTAGTTAAAAACAATAAAAAAGAATTGAATTTTTTAGAAGTTATAAATGATTGCAAAAATTCAATTATTTTTAAAAGTAATAAAACTCTTCGCAGAAATTCAATTATGTTCAAAATCTTTTTTAAATTCTCTTAAAAATTTCAATTATCTTTATAATTAATAAAATTTTTCTCTTTAAAATTCAATTATTTTCGCAAAAATTTTAATCAAATTCTTTGCAAAATTCAATTATTTTCAAAAATTCTAATAAAATCGTTTACAAGAATTGAATTATTTTCATAAATTTTGATAAAATTCTTAGCTAATGCTAATTTTCAAAAATTTTCCCCAATTTAATGATTTTCAATATCTACCATTTTAATAAAATTTTCCAAAAGAACTTAATTATTTAAAAAAAATTTTTGATAAAATTCATCGAAAAAATTCAATTACTTTCAAAAATAATAAAAATTGCACAATAATTCAATTACTTACAAATTTTTTTTTATAAATTTCTTCTCCGAAATTCAATTATTTTTAAAAATTTAAATAAAATTCTAGGTACAATTTCAATTATTTTTACAACTTTTCTCAATTCAATGATTTTCAATATTTATAATTTTAATAAAGTTTTCAAAAAGAATTCAATTATTTAAAAAAAAAATTTAATAAAATTCTACGCAAATATTTAATCATTTTCATAAATAATCAAAATTTCACAGGAATTCTATTATTTACAAATTTTTCATAAATTTATAGAATTATTTTTCATAAATAATTAAATTTTTTTCAGGGATTCAATTATTTTCATAAATAATAAAACTCATCGCAGAATTTCAATTATTTTTAATACAATTTTAATTGAATTTCTTGAAAAATGTAATAATTTTCAAAATTTTTAATAAAATTCATAGCCAAAATTCAATTATTTTCAAAAATAATAAAAATTTAACAGGAATTTAATTATTTACAAATTTTTGTTATCAATTTCTTCTCCGAAATTCAATTATTTTCGAAAATTTTAATAAAATTTCAGGTACAATTTCAATAATTATTTTAAAAAATTTTCCTCAATTCAATGATTTTCAATATCTACAATTTTAATAAAGTTTTCAAAAAGAATTCAATTATATTTAAAAAAAAACTTTTTAATAAAATTCTACGCAAACATTTAAATATTGTCATAAATAATAAGTTTCACAGGAATTCTATTATTTAAAAATTGTTTATAAATTTCTTTCACAATATTTCAATTATTTTCATAAATACATAATAAAATTTTTTAAAAGGATTCAATTATTTTTTAAATAATATAAAACTCATCACAGCATTTCAATTATTTTTAAACAAGTTTTAATCAAATTTCTCGAAAAATGTAATTTTTTTAAAAGTTTAATTAAAATTTGTCGAAAGAATTTAATTATTTAAGTATTTGTTGATAAAATTCTTTGTGAGAATTCAGTTTGAAGAAACATTCAATTATTTAGTAAATTATTTATTTTTTTATATTTAAATAATTGAAATCTTGTAGAATTTTCTTATAAAAATTGATTTTAAAATATATTTTAGTTCAAATTTTAGGTAATAATTGATTATTAAAAGCATTATAGCCTAAATTTTTAGGAATACCTATAATTGAATTATGAAAAGGTGTCAAATTAAATTCTTTAAAAATTTGAATTTTTCATACTTTTGTAGAATTAACTTTTTAAAAAATTTTAATTTGAAAATTTGCAAAGAAATTTTTCAAAAATTATTAAAAATAATGGATATAAAGAAGAATTTAAGTTAAAAATTCTAAAATAAGAAAATAATTTATTTTTACAAAGCGACTCAAGAATATATTTCACTTTTATAAATTTTTATTTTTAGTCTTATTTTCCGTTTCATTTTACTAATTTTTATTTTTTCATTTTTTTCATTCACTTTAATTTTTATAATTTATCAAGCTAAAAGTAAAAACAAAATTGAAATTAAAAATAAAAATCTCTCAAAGTTGTAGAGAAAATAAGAGTGAAAATGAAGAGGAAAGAAAATTTATCAAAGTGAAATTAAAAATGAAAGTGAAAGAAGTTAGTCCCTCATTTTTTTCATAGTTTTAATTAATTTTTCGATAAAAGAAAAATAATGGAAAATGATAAAAAATAATATAGATTGAAAGAAATAAAAAATAAAAACAAATAATAAAAAAAATATTAATAAAAATTGAAATAGAAAGAAGTAAAAAATGACAATAATAAATAATAGGTATTAATAATATTAATAAAAAAATAAAAATATTAAAATACTAGAGATAGAAAAAAGGAAAAAGATAAAAATAGTAATAATAGTAAAATAGTGTCAATAAAAAATAATAAATAGCAATGATTCATGTGCATCGAATTCATTAATTTGAATTTAAGCACGTGAATGAACTTCCTCAATAATAATATTAAGTAACGATATTAAATGTGTATTGTATTTTAAGCGGAAATTAAGTTACACAAACATTACGCTTAATTCGCGCCTCTTATTGAAATTCATAGGTACTTAAATATTAAAACTTAAAATTTACGATCATTTCCAGTAGTGCGCGCACGTACATATATGCACCGCATGTACAATAATATAAACTTCCAATGAGAGAAGAAGATTGCGCGCAGAGTATATATACATACATATATATAAATGCAGAATTAAAAAAGTAAAAAATATCGTATAAATTCGTGCAGCGTGTTTAGTGTGTGTGTGTGAGTGTCGATTGCAGGTGTTAAAAAGTTAAATTTATGAAGAGATTGGAAATTCGAAATCATTTACGAAAGCGATTAATTGTTTGATATCGAGTTGTGCATATATGGAGAGAGGGAGGGAGGGAAAAAGGGATGGGAAATCAAAATATTAAGAATATCAAGGCAAGTTTTGCAGTGGCGTCTTGGGGTTTAGTAGGTCTTAAGTAGCACCCATTCCTGACGGGAGGTCGATGTCGCTACGGGATACCACTTAACGTGTCCCTATCTCGAATAGTAACGTTAATACTTTTAATCGTTTACACCTCGAGTGTGAAACTTCTTCTGAGATCAAACCTCGAGTTCAATTGGCAAAAATTTTTACTTATTAATTACGATTTTTGTTATTTCATTTTTATGTAAAATACAGGCTTCGTACTCATTTATACTGAAACCAACTATAAATTTACTACTTTTTTACGATTCCTTACTATTTACTACTTTTGTACGATTTCCTACTGATTACTACTTTTTACGTTTTCCTACTAATTACTACTTTTTAACGATTTCCTACTATTTACTCCTTTTTACGATTTCCTACTATTTGGATACTTTTTTTCTACTATTCACTACTTTTTTTTACGATTTCCTACTAATCACTACTTTTTTACGTTTTCCTACTAATTACTACTTTTTTGTGATTTCCTACTAATTACTATTTTTACGATTTCCTATTATTTACTACTTTTTTACGATTTCCTACTATTTGGATACTTTTTTCAGATTTTTGACACTAAAAGTTATATTTTTTTATGTTTAAGAATTTTTGAAACTTTAAATTCGCTAATAGTTGGAATAAAAAAACTATTCTCAAAAATTGTAATACCTATATAAAGTTCTTAGAAGCAATTCAACAAATTTTAATAAAATTCTTTTAAACGATTCAATTATTTTCAAAAATTTTTCGAAATTCAATTATATTTACAAAATCTGTTATTTTAATAAAATATTTCCCAAAGGAATTCAATTATTTAAAAATTGTTTATAAAATTCTTATCAAGA